AACCCGGGCATGTGCCCTGACCGGGAATCGAACCGGGATCTCCTGGATCCTAGGTCGATGCTCAACCGCTGAGCCATGCCTGGCCGGGCGGGAGTCTTCCTTTTTAAAAAAAAATATTATTTTTCAGCCTGGCTGGGCGTGACTCATCGGTTGAGTATCGGCCTAGGATCCAGGAGATCGCTGTTCGATTCCTGGTCAGGGCACATGCAGGGTTGTGAGCTCGATCCCCAGTGGGGGGCTTGCAGGAAGCAGCTGATCAGTGACTCTCATCATTGACGTTTCTATCTCTCTCTCTCTCTCTCTCCCTCTCCCTTCCTCTCTTTGAAATCAATAAAAACATATTTTTTTTTAAAATTATTTTTCAATTACAGTTGACATACACTGTTATATTAGTTTGAGGTGTACAACATAGTGATTACACACATACAACTTAAGAAGTGATTACCCTGCTCGGGGATGGTGTGGCTCAGCTGGTTGGAAGTTGACCCAGGCACCAAGAGGTCACTGGTTTGATTCCCAGTGGGGGCACATGCCAGGGTTGCAGGCTCATCCCTGGAAGGGGGCCATAGAGGGCATGCAGGAGGCAGCCAATTGATGTTTCTTTCTCCTCCCTTCCTCTCTCTGTAAAAATCAATTAAAAAAATAAAGTTATCACCCTGATAATTGGACATCATACATAGTTGCAATATTATTGACTCTATTCCCTATACTGTACTTTACATCCCGTGACTATTTTTATAACAGTTTGTACTTCTTAATCAGAGGGAATCTTCTTGCAGTTTAAAATCAATCCTTCTGTCTGTGTTCTTGATCTCATTCTTTTTTGCTTTTTCAAGGGTTTTGCCCCATTAACCACCCCCAATCTGTTTGTATCTTCAACCTTCCTTCTTCTTTGGCTCTTTCCCATAGAAGAGTTAAACAAGCTTAAATCTCACACCTGTCAGAAGTGCTAGTATCATAATGTCAACAAGCAAGTGTTGACAAGGATGTGGAGAAAAGGAATCTTGTGCACTGTTGGAGGGATTGTAAGTTGGTGCAGCCACTATGGAAAACAGTATGTAGATTCCTCAAAATAAAAATAAAACTAACATATGACCCAGCAATTCCATTTCTGGGTATTTCTCTGAAGAAAACAAAAACACTCATTCGAAAACATACGCGCAGCTCTATGTTCACTGCAGCATTATTTACAGATGAATGGATAAAGAAGACACGATATGCAATAAAAAGAATGAAATCTTCCAATTTGCGACAACACGGATAAACCTAGAGGATATTATTCCAAGTGAAATAAGTCTAACAGAGAAAGACAGATACCGTATGATTTCACTTACATGTGGAATCTAAAAGGACAAAACAAATGAACAAAACAAAACAGAAACAGACTTAGAGACACAGAGAACAAACTGATGGTTGCCAGAGGGGAGGGGGATGAGAGGTGGGGGATTGGTGAAAAGGGTGAAGAGAAACAAGAGATATAAACTTGCCGTTATAAATAAGTCATGTAAATAAGTAATGTACAGCACAGGGAATATAGTGAATAATGTTGTAATAACTTTGTACCATGACAGATGGTTACTAGATCTATTGTGGTGATCATATCATAAGGTATATAAATGTTGAATCACTATGTTGTACACTTGAAACTAATATAATATTGTATGTCAATTATACTTTATTTTTTTAATCCTCACCTGAGGATATTTTTTCCATTGCTTTTCAGAGATAGTGGAAGGGAGAGAGAGAAACATCAATGTGAGAGAGACACATCCATTGGTTGCCTCCTACACAAGCCCCGACCAGAGCCGAGATTGAGCCTGCAACCGAGGTATTGAGCCTGCCTTTGGTAGGAGGTGAACCTGGGACCCTTCAGTCTGCAGGCCAACGCTCTAACCACTGAGCCAAACCGGGTAGGGCTCAACTATACTTTAATAAAAATAAATTAATTAATTAAATTTTAAAACGGTAAAAAAATTAACCAATACATCTTTAATCTTGCATATTTCTATCTCTGCACTGTCCTTCAAAGTCGAATTTGAAAAGGCTGTCAACATTTTGTTTCTATATGCTCCTCAATTCATCACCTTCTGAATTTCACCCTCACTGAAACCTCTCTGACCAGAGTTATTGACTTCTCTATCAGTAAATCCATTAGCCACTTCTCCTTAATTCACTTGACTTCTTGGACAAGAACCGTATCTTCTTCACCTTATAGGAAGTATCTTTAGGCCCAAGTGAACATGTCTTGTCACTAGTAATCAATGTTTGTTGAATAGTGAATAAATGAAAAATGGAGAAGTCAAGAAGACTTGAAGCTGTTTTTCCAAAGGCATTTGAACTCAGTGTGATCTGTTAAAGCATGTTGTCATACAGCATCCTGCACACCGCAACACGGGACTTTTTGTCCCCTGTGCCCTCTCCCAGATTTCACCTTTTTCTAATCACAGCTTTCAGAATGTGATCTCTAGACCTCAAATTTGCCCTTTATAATTATTTTTCCAACTTTCCTATTTCTGTTTTCCCCCTGTTTCTCAGAGGATTTTTTATTCTTTGCTTAAAATGTTACCCTAAGTATTTTTAAAGTAAAATAACATTTAATAAAATAAAGTACACAGAGCACACTGGGAACCTTTGGGGAAAGAAAATGAACTGAAAACACATCTTTTGCTTCCTCCCCAAACTCCTTTAAAACAAATAAAGAGAATTTCAGAATTATTGGTTGGGGAGAGTGGAGAGAAGACAGAAAAAAATTTTAAGTCTGGAATACAAATGGCAAGTGGTAGAGGGCAATCCTGAGAGCTAAGCAGTCAGAGTTAATAAGCTACCCAATTTGCACTGCAGAAACCCCCCAACTCTCAAGAATTTGTGGTTGTAGGGACCTCTGGAAGTCAGGGGAAAGAGGAGGAGAAGAGGTAGCCAAAAAAAAAGACTGATTAAGAGTCTGTTTAAGAAACATTAAGGTGCATAGAGCTGAGCAATTACTCCTCACTTACCCCCAAGGGATGAAATAGAGGTAAAGCAGGGCTTCTGCATTGAGGAACACCAGACAGAGTTGAGGGAGGAATACCATACAGAAAACAGGTACCTTAGCCAAACATATGCCTACTGGGTGCTGACCTTCATCCCTCACTTAACTCTTAAAATTCAGGCAACCAGGCCTTTGTTTTTAATCAGGGAATAGGGAGCGGCTTCTCTGGGGAGTCAGCCTAAAAGGAGAAATCCAAGGCTCCCCAGTGAAACTGACTCAACAGGACTTGATCACCTTTCAGTGAAGTACATGGTCTAATCCACATAGGCCCTTGGAACTTCAAATTAATTTTTTAGTTTCCCACTCCAAAATTTAAGTAGATAACCAAGGATTGATTACCAAATAGCTGAGAAATGCCTTTAATGTTAAAGATATAAGCCAACAAAATGGTAGATGAGAGGAAACAGAGAAGTAAACTAAAAACAAAATAAGCCCAAATCATTATTATTACCATATTCAGATAAAATAAATAGTAAATATGACACAAAACAAGGGGAAAAGGAACATTCAGAGAACCAAAAAAAGCTCTTGGAAATTTAAAATATGATAGCAGAAATGAAAAACAAGAAAAAGATTGGACAATATCAAAGAAATCTCCCAGAAAGTAGAGCAAAAGACAAAGAGAGAAAACAGGAAAGAAAAGATAAGAACATCTGTATTTTGCTAAGTCTACCATAACAAAATATCATAGGTTGGGTAGCTTAAACAACAGAAATTATTTTCTCACAGTTGTGGAGGTTAGAAGTCCAAGATCAAGGTGTTGTCAGGTTTGGTTTCTTCTGAGGCCTCTCTCCTTTGCTTGCAGATGGTCATCTTTTGGCTGCATCCTTGCATGGTCTTTTCTCTGTGCACAGGCATCCCTAGTGTCTCTTCCTCTTTTTTTTTTTTAAATCCTCACCTGAGGATATTTTTTCCATTAATTTTTAGACAGACTAGAAGGGAGGAAGTAGAG